CATATTGTTTGATTGAGGTTCTTCAAAATAAAAAACCAGAGGCTAAAATGATGGACTGGATACATTCCAAGGAGACCGTAGAATGAAATAGAGGCCAACGCGATAAGTTGGGCATGTGAGAGCGACATGGAGGAGATCGTGCGAGGAGGAGATGAGAAACTACGGAAAATCTTGGGGCCATATTAAGGGCGCCTCCGAATATAGGACGATGTGGAGACATGGTGTTGAAGCCGTCTGTCCTATTGGGAACCAAAGGTAAAAATAATGTTAATTTAATAGTCATGAAAAGTCATTCTCCATCGCTCAGGTGGATTTGCTCTTTTCAATCTCATAGAGAGAGTATGAAGAGCTTCCTATCTAACCATCTAACATCGATTTGCAGTTCACTGTAATGACAAAATCTCAAGTTTGAATGATGAGATTGAGTCAGTTATAATGGCTCACTACAATATTTATTCTTCATTGATTATTTTACTCATAACTTAATTAATTTTTCTTTATTTCTTCTAAAATTCTTCAAGAAAATGATACTTCTACCCATCTTCAAAATGAAATGAAGTCACTGATGAATAAGATACAACAAGATAATAAAATGGATATGATGAAAAATAAACCTTTTGAAAAAGTTAATAATTCAACTGAGTAAGTATAACAAGCATAAAGTTATATTGTACATTGATCATCTTGCTTTCTTTCAAGGGCGGATAATTTAAAACATAAATCTACGTCGAGGAAATCATCGTCATCATCATCTTCAAGTTCCTCAGATGAAGAAGAAGATAACAGTTTGTGGCTGGAACGTTTTCGAAGACAAAGAGGCAGACTAAATAAAATGTATGTTGCATTTCAGTAGTATATTATTACTGTTATAATGAATTTGCTATTTACACAGTTCAAGGTGAAATTTCATATTAGTTTCTTATGGGAACTGAAATTGCTGAAATCACAATAATTTGGGATTTGCGAATTTGATCTAACGCATTACCAGGTCCGAGGTTCGATCCCCGACCGACGCACTCCTTTACCTCGCTAAGCCAGAAATGAAGTTGGTAAAGAGGAAAGGTTCGGCATGAGGCTAGTAACCCCATCCTGTAAAAATGAACATTGCTACAGAAACTTCTAGCCTCTAGCTTGAAGCCCTGTGTTCCACTGGGAACGTGAAGGAATAAAAAAATAATTACTAGGTCATTTAAGTAAATGGCCAGAATTCGGGTGGTTTTTAACTGACTTACCTCTCTGAGCTGGGTCAAACCGGATAAGATGCTGATGGCCGGCTATCGACCAAAAGGCGGGTGTACTGCTCAGCAGTCCGCTCCGTCCTCCTTTATGGCTCTGAGACCTGGCCATTGAGAGTGGAAGACATGAAAAGGTTGGCTAGCTGTCTTTGATCATAGGTGCCTGCGCTCTATCTCCCTTGTGAAGTGGTATAATAAGGTGAACAATATTGAGGTTAGGCGTCGAGTCCTAGGTAAGGAGGGGAAATCAGTTGACGAGACTGTGAAATTACATCGACTGAGATGGTTAGGACATGTGTTACGTATGCCTAGTCATCGCCTTCCTCGACAACAGGCAATGTTAGCTGGCATAGGGTCAGACTGAAAAAGAGCTAGCGGCGGTCAAACGAAAAAATGGCACCAGTCAATGAAATCTACAACAGTTAGTTTAAGCCAGTGATGTAGGAAGGTGTAGACTTCCTGGTTGGGGTCCTCAGGACGGCAAAAACCAATGGTTGGAAACAATTGGTGATATGGCTCAGATGCATCCACTCCTTGTGACTCATGATTTCCAATGAAACTGTTTTGTTCTTCGTTATAACTATACCTTTGTCTCACACCTCTGTTTACTGACTATATTATGCATTTCTTCTACTTTCTTCTGTTGCTTTGTGTGCTACATGGAGTGTGGCGACTTGAACTGCCGCACATCTGTGGAAGGTTCTATGTCGAATACAGACAGACAGACAAACAGATGCTGATGAGCTCACCCAACCCAAATGGGTGAGACAGATATCCGTTATTTAGAACACCTCGATCTATACAGTTTGCGAGCACTGCTGTTTGGTGTGAGTGGTATCGAACTACTCACCCAAGTCAATTAGTAGTATATAGCTCCGAATAAATTATTACAAATATATTAATTGGTTACAGGATTTGACTATGGGCTGACATCGGTTAGAGAAATATTGGAAAATCCCTTGGGAATACTGGATGGCTGTTTCGTCCGCCTATCTTGTGACTGCTCAGTAGTACTCTCCAACCGGAGTTCAAACCTAGGGCCTTCCGGTTACAAGGTGAGCTCGTAGACCATTAAGCCCGTGAATTCCAAATTCTGGCGATTCTCAATCAAATCGCTGCAAAACAATACTGTAATATTTATCTGGTAATCACTAGTGACTAGCCTTATTTAGGTGGGTAGTTACCTAGGTTCTATTGGGAAATCGTGACCAGTGGGGTACAAAAGGTTGAGTGTGAGGACAAATATTCTCCGATGACATTGGCTAGTGGTGACGCTATATCGTGAATTGGAAAAAGTTGGAATTCATGGACTGGTCATAGGATAGGGAAGCGGTGGCTGAGTGGTCTACGAGCTAGCCTACCTTGTAACCGGAAGCTCCTGAGTTCGTACCCCGGTGATGAGTGCGTACTGTTGGAGAGTTCCAAACTAGACTGGCAAAACCACTGCTCAGTTCTCCCTAGTGGGTTTCCAACAGTTCTCTAACCGATATCACCTCATGATGAAATCCTGCGACCAATCACATCCCTTCAAACCACCTCTTGAATATTATTTTATTGTTTTATAGTCAGGTTAAAGAAGATCAGAAGACAAATGGAAAATCATCTGAAAAGCGATCAAATGAAAATCAGTCTACAGAGTCAGTTTATCAAACAAACAGTGTGGATAAAGTCAACTCAAATACATTGGGAGATCATTTAGATAAATTGTGGGTTTCTCTCAATGTCTAATATTTTATATTTGGTAAATTCATTCTTACGTTACATAATATTCTCATAAGTAGAATTTTAAAATGGATTTGGCGCTATGATTCGAACTCAGCATCTATATTTTCAAAAAATAATAATGAAATAACCTCAAACTGGGAAAATTAAGGCAGTGTTGAATTATCCATTCACAAAGCTTATATTCCTGATTTCGTCTGTTTCTGATCCATAAAGTAGCACTGACTTCACATTGGAGTTGAAAATCCAGATCTTATTTTTCATGCCGAGGAGTGCTGCTGGCCTCCACACAGACTTGAGAGTACTGAAAGCTTGCCTAGCTTCCCCGATCCTCGCGCTTTGATATCTTCATCAGTTCCGTCTGCCTTTAGTTGAAACGATGCTTCCCAGGTGGGTAGGTAAATGATGTTGCTTCTTTTAGACTCCTCCTATTTATTCTGATTGTTGTCCGTTGTTGTTGGTGTTGCTGTTGGCCAGGAATCTTCATTACCTCTGTTTTCTCTATGTTCACCTGAAGTGAAGTCCTATTTTCTCTGGATGCTTCTTCTGCCAACTTGTTGCATTTCACTTGCGTATCTTCCAGTTTGTGGGAAGTCAGAGATAAATCAGCGGCGAGATCCAGATCCTCCAAGTTTTTTATGTGAGTCCATTTTATGCCTGTTTCCTCACTGCCCGCTGTTTGTCGCATTATCCAGTCTACTGCAATCAGGAAAAGCAATGGTGATAGTAGGTAGCCTTGTCTTACTCCCGCCTTCACTTCGAAGGATTCCGTCAGTTTGTCGTACGACTGTTGGATGAGATGTATAATTGTCGGCGGCACCCCGTAGTAGCGAAGTAGTTGCGAAAGGAGACCTCGTAATACTCTACCAAACAACTAGGTTCCTATGGGTAAAACGTTCAACACAAATTAAGCCAGTGAAAGATGACAACGAAAAGTCAATCACCAAAGAGGTGGAGCAAAGGAAACACTGGGCTGAACACTTCAAAAGACTACTAAACCGACCACCACCTACAACGCGCCCAACAATACCGACAACGGAAGCAGAATTACCAGTGAACATCAACCCTCCGACGAGAACAGAAATCCTGAAGGCAATCAAGATGCTAAAAACTGGAAAAGCAGCAGGACCAGATGGAATCCCAGCAGAAGCATTGAAAATGGACCCAGAGACAGCAGTGGACTTGATGACGCCACTATTGGAGAAGGTGTAGAAAGAGGGCAAGGTACCTGCGGATTGGAAGAAAGGCTACTTATTCAAACTTCCAAACAAAGGAGACTTAAGTCAATGCAAGAACTGGCGCAGAATTATGCTCCTGTCCATCCCAAGCAAAATACTAAGCCGCATCATCCTGGATAGAATCAAACACGCCGCCCTGGATGAACAGGCTGGATTCAGGAGGAACAAGTCATGTATTGATCAAATCGCAAGACTGCGGATCATCATTGAACAGAGCTCGGAATGGCAGTTACCTCTCTATCTCAACTTTATTTACTTTGGAAATTTGTGTTAGTGCCTTGATACGATTATGCACAATAAATTGTGCCCAAAACGCCGTCAGTAAATAATGCTGTATAACACTACGAGACTTTATCAAGTAAATTTAATCTATGTTGGAAGATACATCTTTATTTAAAAGATTAATTAATGGACAAATATTATATTCGATAAATTCGTCGTCAGGTTCTACATTTAAATGACAGTAATAATTAGAGAAATATTGTCGTTAACGGCATTAATCTTTTTTAATTACATTAAATCATTAGTATTGAATGATGTCAGTCCAAAAGCATCAGTAAAGGAGGGATAAAGTGCACTAAGATAACACTAAACTGAATATGAGATAAATAAAAGAAAGTAACACAGAATTTATGAATTTATATGCTCAACGGCAGACCATGGTAGCAATAGTGTCTGGAACTGCTTCTTTTGAATACAGAGCTGAGGTTGTTTTAGGCGAATTACAATGGTCTCTAATGTTTGCAGTACTCGGTATCTAGACGCCTTTGGTAATTTTGTAACGACAGAAGACAAGGGCCAGGAAACAGATCGTTTATTGAGAAAACCAACAGATATTTATAGATTTTTATATACACTATTATTAGCGTTATTGTTAGCGGAGAAGCAATCTCATCTGATTGGTTGTCTTCTTGCTCAAGGTTATTCTGTACTGCTTGAGACTATTTCTCAGAAAGTTAAGCCATATATCTGCGAATCATATTTCCACACGTTAAGTCTGCTGTGATTGGTTGTTGAGTTCCCCAAGGTTAGGCTTTGTTCTTGTTTTTTTCTCATAACCCCGATATGGGACGTAAAGATTGACGTAAATTGTTGTCTATAATTTTGGCTTGCAGACAGCTCTCACCACAGTTTTCACCTGTCTAGCGTACAAAGGGGAAGACGTATCCACAAGAACACAAAAAAGAATCACGGGTGCATTAAAAAGAACAATTTATCTGATTCCCGGTGTATTATACAGCAAGGTCTTTCAGTGCTGGCTTTGTAGACTGTTTATACGAGGTAATCCATTATAGAACTGTTAACGCTTTTGACAACGGCTTTATCTGATCATACTGGTTGGTGTTCCCGAGCGAGCACGAAAAATTAAGTTCGTAGAGCAATGGTCAATATAACTGGCTCCACAGGAACAGTTGAACTGATAGGTAGATAGAGGTAGTCGCCTATATATAGAGAGGCTTCCTGTTAACAACAGATACCGAAGAACTCTTTTCCACTTTCTTGGTCATGTGTTTTGGTGATGAACTTCTCAGAGCATCTTTATCCAATCAAAATCAATGTCAACTTTTTAAATCAGCTGGATTACAGTGAATGCATTTTATACGCATCTTATTTTTGAGCATGGAGGTTGATTTAGTAGGTTGTAAGCAGTTGAAAGGAATCAGCGATATCAGATAACAAACATCTTGCAATTTTTTTTCTGAAGCTATAGTTCTCTGTCTACTTCCAAAAGTATGTTTCAACAAATATGCATGTATCTATCAACTATTGATTCGTCCTTTTCCGTTATTTATCGATTTCTTCGCTTCTTTTATCTACAGAAAAATGAATGAAATTCGAAAAATGAAAAGAGAAGAGATTTGTCAAGAATTATTGAAATCAGTGGATAAAACCCGACTGGCAGATTTGTTAGTCAGTGAGGTAATAATAATATTATGCTAAATACACGTAAATTGGATAAATTTTTCCATAGAACAATGATTTAATTCACTAGATAGAAGATACAAGACCTCTAACCACAGAGTTCCAATTGTTTAATGCGATGATAACTTACTCACTTGTATTTGAATGTGATTCAAAAATCTACTTAGATTACTAAAACACCTGAACAACAATAATATTCATGTCCAACCTTGGAAGAACAAAGTTGGAGCACTCAATTGACCAAACAACTTCCTACTGTCGATATGTTGATGACACATTTATAGTGTACAACAATGAAAGCCATGCTTCACACTCACTCAGATTATTCAATGATGCACACATCAATACTGAGTTTACTATGGAACATGAAAGTGACAGAAAGTTCCACTTCCTCGACGTTACAGTGGAACGCCTAGAAGATGGTAGTCTTCAGAAGTCAATTTACTGAGAGCCTATTTGGAAAGCACAATACTTACATTTTAATAGCTTTTGTCCAAATAGCTTTAAACACGGACTAGTCAAGACTCTGTACTATAGAGCGAGGAGAATTTGCTCTATAGAGATATTAGAGGAAGAATTTGAGTTTCTTGAAAAGATGTTGATGAACGATGGGTACCCTCAAAGGTTCATCAACAAGTATGGAAGATCTGAAGTCACAAATGTAAAACAAATCACAGTGTAGAAAAAGCCAATCTACATTCAACTTGATTATAAAGGTGAAAACATTGCAGCCATGATCAACGGAAGGCTGAGCACATCACTAGCGAGGGCCTATCCTGCAGCTAATATGCTTGCAATCAAAAATCGATAGATATCCCTCTCATGTGAACTCCAACTGCATATACAAATTTACATGTATCTGCGGGAGCAGTTACATTGGAAGGACAGAAAGAAGGGCGTATCTGAGATTTTCTGAACATGTACCAAAAAGCTTACGTCTAAAGGGAACAAATGCTTTAAACAGTGCCATCGCCAGGCATCTCTTCGACACGGGTCATGAGGTGTTCAAAATTATAAATAGGCAAAAGAGCTCAATTCGCCTCAAGTTTGCTGAAGCCATTTCCATCAAGCGCCTGAAACCTGATTTGCGGCCTATTAGAGATACATACCCTGTATAATTCATTTTTATTTCATGCATATCTTATAAATACACTTTTTTATATAATGAGTGCCACTTTTCACCTAGAAGAATTTGATTGGTTGGTTCAAGGTCATTTGACTTAGGTGTCCATTCTTTATTGTTATCGCTTGGCCTTTCTTTTTTATTACGTTACAGAAAGTGAGTTTCACTCCAGCTATTCCAACAATACCATTGGAAGTAAAACAAGCAAACAATGCTACTGATAATATCTTTATTCATCTTGAAATTGATCAATTAATGATTGATAAGGCTTTAAATGAATCCATTGAATTCATTGAACATAATGCTGGCGGTCAATTCAAACAATCAATTTTAAATAATAATTATCATTCAATAGAATCAATGTCAATATTCTATGGAATCCTTTCATGGCTAATCCAGTTATCAGTATATGGTGTTGAAATTGACTTTCTTCAAACAGCAGTTGCGTTTAAGACTATAGGTTTAATACAAACAGCTTCATTGGGTTGTAAAGAATCAAATCAATTAGAAAAACCAAGAATCAAATGTCTTCTACAAGCTAATTTATGTCATTTAGAGGATAATAAAGTTTCTTTGGATGATCTGAAGTCTCTCATCAGTAGAAAGTGTTCAGAACAGGTAATATTCTTTTGAAAAATATCTATGTATCATATATTAATGAGATTAAGCAGTTTGATGACAGCCAATCATATTTAACCTTTACATCGACCAATCAGATAACAGTTAGTATAAAACTAGGTTCAATGTTGAAGACTCTGCATTTTCAATGAGTTATAAATCCGCATTCTACCATATTAGTTTTCAAGAATCTTTGGGTCGAGTTTTCTTCGGAACGAATCCAATAACCATATTGGTGTTCAAAGTAGTTTCCATAACAATGTGAAGAACGGTACAATGGAAGGTGGTACGCAGTTGCATATTGTGTAAATTACACATATTAATGACAAAACAGTAACATTTTTTTGCATTCACTAGTACTGAGTTTAGAACTATCGTAATTTATCGCATAATTAGTGTACAGTAAAAAAAAAACTATCACTGATTATTTCATCACTTGCGAAATGTATTCAAATTAATATCCAACTGTAATAAAGGCCTAGCAACCATAGTTTACGAGGTAGACCTACCGTGATTGGTCCATTTTACTGGCTGCAAACTGATTGGTCAACTTGTGTGACAAGTGCAATTTCACTATAAATCGTTGAGACTCAATTTTAATTCATTCGTTTCTGTTAACCACTGGCTGTAACTGGCATGTTGTAGCAAATTGAGGGATTTTTTTGTGGATGAATAGTCACCTGTAAAATGTTTGAATAGTGGTAATTTTTTGAGGTTGTGGGAAACTTTGAATTGCTTAAATGGCTTGTCGACTTGGTCTGATTTAGGTAGACTTTTTACATTTTCGTCGGTTCTGAGCGCTCATGTTTCAGCTGCACTCTGTTGGAGAATGATTTTTCTACTAAAATGCCTCATTTTATAAAAGTTGTTCTCCTTTTTGTTATCGATTCGTTTTAGTGAAGGCTTCATTGGGGTTACTGAGGATTTTCGCCGTTGTTTAATGGAAAGTAGTGGTCACTTTTAGTCGTACTAACAATTTTAATGGTAATGATAATATTTTGTAGACATCTAGACAAATTCCTTGTCATCCATCAGATATCTGGTGTATAACCATGTAACCCAAGGTGTATTATTCAAATGTTCCAAATCTTATTTGTAACCAATCAACCGATATGGGTTGTGGCATTATTGTAACCAGCAGTCTCTAAATTGCTATCGCGTTGTTGTACTAGTTGAGATGTAGAACTGAGTATTTGATTTGGTTGTATTCTCTGGGTTAACTGGTTTGTAACCGTGATGCTTTCATCAACATCAGCGCAAACGTCATTATGGAACGAACTCATTTGAATTCTCCGTGTTTGATATCACTGTCTCTCTTAACGACCTTCTTTGTGATCAGTTGTTAGTTTCCATCCGAAGTTGGTCGTTTTATTGACTTGGTGGAACCGCCTAAAATTCTAGCGGATTCCTAGGATGTTGATACTCCGACTAATTAGTTATTTGAACAGAGAAGCAACAAATACTGGTGCAGAATAATATTGATTTAATTTATTCCGTTGGTTCTCATCATCGACTTCAAAGATGATGATATTATGAAAGTTGTAAATAAAATATTGAGCTCAGATCTGTTGATGACGTAACCTGCAGCAAACGTAATCTCTCCGCCCCAGACATCCTCCTCTTTAGTACAGTCAAAGATCGACAAGTACCCCTAATATATTACCTCCAACTGTGTATACCAACTCACACCAATCTGCACGAGCAGTTACATTAGAAAAACAGAAAGAAAGGCCTTCGTAAGATTCTTAAAAAATGTACCAACGAGCGAGCCAAACAGTTTAAGCTGTACAATTACCAGATTCCGGTTAGACACAAGACACCGAGTAGACGTTCGGAGGCTATTCAAAGTGGGTAACTGACAAGGTACTCCAAGTCTTCTTTGGCTCTCTGAGGCTATTGCAATAGAACGATTGAAACCTGCCCCATGTGTCTAGAAGCAATCTGACATCGGACTTCAGTTACCCTGGCGACTCATCTCTTAGTAACTCTTTGTTTTCAACCCACCCGTCTCACTCTTTTGTCTGTTTAATTTCTATAGGCTATCATTTTCCTTGACGTTCTAAATTCTACTCATCCCACTGCATCATCATTTTGTCATTTGACCTGTTGCACACCAAATGTCGATATTCTCTTATCTAACTACCTAATTGTTACTAATTTTTGTTACCACCCTGACAACAAATTTGTCAATCAATCTTTCTAGGTAATTCTCTCTAACACTTCAGCTACCCTATCATCCCGATGTTTTGTTTCACTGTGACACACTTACAATATGCCAGAACCCATTAATGGTGAGAACAGGAGACCTAGCTCTTCTATTGCGAAATATACATTATAGAGACAGCATATAAAATCGATGTCTACGCGTCTTTTAATCTTATGTATAAAACGTGTTTGGGGCTTGTCCTGAATTTTGTGGAAGCACTGGCAATTACGGAGCTTAAATCACCTTCATGCGTTCAAAGCAACAATTCGTCATCACACTAAACCTTCTTTGGTAAACTTTGTTTTGTTTTGATACCAACCAGGGTAGATGTACTATTTATTACCTCTCTTATTTGGTTTAGTGGTTAATCTTCATTGTTATTTTGACCTTCAATATGTCCTTTTAACTTGACCTCAGTTTTTCTCACCCTTAAAATTTTTTTCAATTTCATAGATATTCCTATGACAAGTCCGTGTGCTATCAGATTGTTGCGCGAATACATTACACACACGATTCAGAAAAATTATGTCTTCTTATTGCTTTGTCTAGGTAAAAGTGTGTTAAAATTGTACACCCACTTAGGGTATTAAAGATTATGGGTTTTACGCAGCTGACGAGATGAAGCAACGAAGTGAAATGGATCCATGTTATTCTGCACCAGTTTCCACTGTTGTTCCTTCTCTGCTCAAATTTTTTAATGGGGAATATTTTTGTATGTTATTACTGACTGACAAGCATATTGTTATAGATCCGATTTATCAACTCATATCGAATATTTCATACATTTATTCCTCTTAATGAATTTAAACAAAGTAAGAACTACAGTTTTAGCAGAATAAAATGGTACCATCTTTTAGTTCGTTGCCTTCTCGTCAGCGGCTTACAGGGCAAACACATTATTGAATATATCTACAAAAATAATTTTAACATACTTGCACAGAGTTCATTTTAAACAAAAATCAATCGATCAATAAACACACACGCACAACAGTATATACAAATTTACATTTATCTGCGGGAGCAGTTACATTGGAAGGAAAGAAAGAAAGAAGGGCATATCTACGATTTTCTGAACATGTATCAAAAAGCTTATGTCTAAAGGGAACAAATGCTTTAAACAGTGCTATCACCAAGCATCTCCTCGACACGGGTCATGAGGTGGACGTCGAATCAATCAATAATATGAATAGATTACAGTTCAATAGCATCTATAAGTAGGATAATAGGCATCAACATAACACTACACACTGAATATCAGACAAATTAGGCAACATAATAATTATAATAATAATACAGATTTCATGAATTTATAGGCTCGACAGAAGGCCAGGACAGTAATAGTGGCTGGCTAGCTGGACCTTTTTCTTCTGCACACACACACACACAGAGCACCGGTTGTTTTAGGTGAATCTCAATAGCCCCTCCTGTTTGGTGTATTCGGCACCTGGATACTTTTGGCAGTTTATTTGGTACCCAATAGATGATGGAGAGAAGGATTCTTCAATGTTAGCCTGCTCTGTCGCCGGTGTGAAATAGGTGGTCTAATATGAAACTGTTGATGATGGTTTTCACTACACCTTTATTTATCCCGAACGAGCACGAAAATCAAATTCCTGTAGAAATGGTCAATAAAACTCGTTCCACAAACGCAGCCAAACTGGTAGATACACTTAGAGAAGTGGCATGTTCAGGTACTTCATCTGTCATAGTGTAGAAAATAGGACTTATACTTTACCAGCATTGAAAGTTCTTTGAATAGATTTTCTTAACTTGTTAGTAATTATTTCACTCGGCACATCACTGCTGAATCGTGGTCGTATACCATATGAATGCTTCTTATTTACAGACACAGAATAGTCCTTTTCTACTACTCAGCCATCATAATCTCGCGGACTGATGGTTGTGTCATAACTTAGGACTAACGTCTACAAATTCCGTGTATTTATTTTTATCGTTCGTTTGCTTTAAAGTTTATAATTCTGTTAACGTCCAGTAGTTAACCATCACGATGACCTTTAATCCGTTAACATACTTGCACAGAGTTCATTTTAAACAAAAATCAATCGATCGATATACGCATACACTAATAATATATATTTTTATCCTTCAAGTTCCCCAGTGGAACATAGGGCTTCAAGCTGGAGGCTTGAAGTTTCTGTAGCTGTGTTTATTTTACAGGATGGGGTTGCTAGCCTCATACCCAACCTTTCCTCTTCATCAGCATTATTTCCGGCTTAGCGAGGCAAAGGAGTGCGTCGGCCGGGGACCGAACCCCGGACCATGTGCATGGTCGGCGAGCGTCCTAACCACTATGCCACCGACGCAGTAATATATAAACATATGTAATAACTTTTCAGCATTTCACATTCGAATGAAAGAGAGATGAAAAATATCCAGTTACCAGGCTGGCAAAGAAAGACTGATAACCGCTTCTTTCTGGACGCATAAATCAGGTTTCAGGCGCTTGATGGAAATGGCTTCAACAAACTTTAGGAGAATTGAGCTCTTTTGTCTATTTATAATTTTGAACGATTTTTTGACGTCCACCTCATGACCCGTGTCAAGGAAATGCGTGGTGATGGCACTGCTTAAAGCATTTGTTCCATTTAGACGTCAGCTTTTTGGTACATGTTCAGAAAATCGTAGATGTGCCCTTCTTTCTTTCTATCCTTTCAATATAACTGCTCCCGCAGATACATGTTTTTAAATGAGAATTTTAAATAAATTATTAAAATTTAAATTTATTATTTATTTTAATTTTTCAACTGATTGTCAGTGTTTCTTTACAAAATTTTAGATAAATCAATGGAAAGATTATAATCACTGGATATATAATCCCGAAGGAATTCATCTACCAAAGTTAAATGTTCCAATATCATTGAATATTTTCAATATTCAATCCGATCTTTCTAATTTTTGGTTTCAAACACAACATCAAACACAACCTAATTCTTATATTGGTAAAATCCAACATGACCACGCCATATGGAACATTGAAACTAAAAAAGATCAAGATACTGATGAAAATAATATTTTCAATAATGAGTATGATCACCGGATTAGAAACATTCACCACCTATTAAAACAAAACTATTGTTGTTTAAAATCTCATTCAATATATGCATTAAACATTGAACAGTATTGTACAACTATCATTGAAATCAATTTATCACAGTTACAGTTAAATATTATTGGACAATTTGTCTATACTTTATTGATTAGTCTCCATTTAAGAAATTTATACATTTCAGGTATTCGTATAGCTTGGTTATCTTCTAAAAATACAAATCACAATGAAGGGGATAACAGTTTAAAACCTTACTTAATCTTAGCCATTCGCGGTGTTCAATCACACACTGAAATCCAACATATTTTAAACTGGTTTACAAGCAAAAAATCAATACTCTTATCTACAAGTGTACAAGTTTATGGGAGTTGTTATGAAGATGTGAATAAGGAACATATTGTAAGTTATTATAGTTTAAAATTATGAGTTAATCTTATAATTACTCTTTAAAATATTGATGATATAAAAAAACAAAATAAATGTGAGCAATGAATATCCTTTTCGATAATTTCCTCTTCTGCTTATTTACAAAGAATATTCTAGAATGGTAGTCAGTAACAATATTAGTGTTTTTTAAATAACATCGATTTCTTAAGTAAGATCACAATGGAATTACAGTTCATTAAAGATGCTTAAATTATAATAATAACAATAAAGATATAATAGCAAATAGAATATCAAATAAAATTAGAAAAATTCCACAAAAATTGAGCACCATTCAAACCTAAATGACCAAGGTAAGGATAATGTTCGAACTAGCTACTTCTTTTGGACACATAAATAAGGCTTCTTAATGTGGATCTCAATAGCCAGCCTCAGCAATATTTAGTAAACGAACTCTTAAGGCGAAATTAAGATTTGTTGGTATGCGGTAAATGACTTTGAAAGCCGCCTCGTTGACCTAATTCATGTGTTCTGTATCGATAAGATGAGATAGAATAGAGCTGGGAATAGATTTTGTTTGTCCTTTGCTTAACCCTGCAGAGTGATGTTCGGAAATCTGACAAGAAACACGCAAGATTAGTGTCAACGAGGCAGCTTTCAAAGTCATTTACCGCATACCAACAAAACTTAACGTTGTCTTAAGAGTTCGTTTACTAAATATTACTGAGAATGGTTGTCGGGATCCACACTAAGAACCCTAATTTGTGTCCAAAAGAAGCTAGTTCAGACGTTGTCCTTACCACGCTGGCCATCTAGGTTCAAAAGTTCCTCATTTTTTTTCGTAGAAATTCCTTTAATTTTGGTTGATATTCTATTTGCTATTATATTTTTATTATTATTATAATTTATGCTTCTTCTTTTATTACTTTGCGTTCCCAGTGAAACATAGGGCTTCAAGCTACAGGCTTGAAGTTTCGGTAGGAGTGGTGTTTATTTTTACGGGGTGGGGTTGCCAGTCTCATGCCCAACCTTTCCTCTTTACCAGTCTTATAACTGGCTTAGCGAGCGAGGTGAATGAGTGCGTCGGCCAGGGATCCATCTTCGGACCACATGCGTGGTTGGCAAGCATCCTACCACTGTGCTACCGAAGAACTTATGCGTCTTCAATGAACTGTAATTCCATTGTGATCTTACTTAACAAATCGATATTATGAAATAATAGAGAAGATTTGTAGCTCAGGTGGATGATTTGCAATTAATAGTGTTTTCTGAGCTGGTTGGTTTAGTTGCGAAGTTTTCGTCGTCCTTCTGGACAACATCTTCAGCGCCATATTTAGCACAAAGTGAAATGATTTAAATTTCTTCATGAGTGATATACTTGCGTCTCCTGGTAACCATCTTTACATATGTATTGACCATTTTCTATTGACTTGGATTTTAAACTTTCTGGTCACCTGATTTACTTTTTATTAGTTGGTATATTTCGTCTGTTAATTGCATTTTCGTTTGAGTACCAGGCTTCTAGGAATTCCCTGGCACGAAAAGTGCCAAAAGTGTCAAAACAGGCTGGCTGTCAATTATCTAAAGTCACTGTGGGAATCTAATTTACTCAGAGTAAGGAATGAGATCTGAGGTTTCAACATTAATGTTAAGTCGGCGCCTTCCTTTGCTTCAGAGAATTGGTGCACGTTTCACGGAAAGTATTTTCAGCAGATTACTTTAGGCTTTGGTCATCAGATACCGTCAGTATATGCTGAAGATCAGATGGTCAGCCAGGCAGAAATGATTAGCAACAAGAAGCCCTGTGATCCTATTGTTCAACAAATATATTGATGATAAAGGAGATGGATCTGACACATTTTGAGGAGACCATCGGATGACATCGCGCGCACTGCCGGCTATCGCTCGAGTGGAAAGCGAATAGGAAATGACGAGTAGGGCGTGAGCTAGAGGGTGGAATGTGAGAGATCATGAAAGCGGGAGATCGTGGACAATGGGTAATCGTTTGGCAAGCTTAAGAGGACAGTAGGAAATAAGAAAATCGTGATGATTTACTATTAAAGCCCTATATTCCACTTAGAACCGAGGGGAACAAAAATAATAATAATAACAATGGGTAATTTCACTGTTGATAGTTACGGAAAACCGATCAGCACTGGGCACAGCATTTCATCATTAGCTGACATCAGTTAGAGAACCATTGGAAAACCAACCTAGGAGTCCTGGATAGCTGTTTCCGTTGTCTTAGTTTGGGACCCTTCAGTAGCACGTACCCAACGCCACAGTTCGAATCCTCGTAGACCATTCAGCCATTGGGACCCGACCCAATGACCAGCCCATGAATTCCAACTTCTGCCAACTGAAGACATATCGCGACCACTAGGCAATGTCTTTAGCGAGTATTTGTCCTCACACTCGACCTACCGTACACTACTGGTTACGGCTTCCCACTAGAACTCCAGGTAACTGCCTACCTGAATAGGGCTAGTCGCTTGTGACCATCTCATTCATATTCAAGTATTGCTTTATAGGGAATTTGATTGATTGATTGCAAGATTTCATCATGAGCTAACATCATGAGGTAATCGGTGTCAGCTCGTGATGAAATCCTGTAACCAATCAATAAAAATCCCTACAAACCATTACTTGAACAGCATTGGGTAGTTGGATAATTCTTGTCTGGGATTCTGTAGCTGCATGGAGACATGGTGTCACCACGCATCAAACATACAACCTTCATTTTACGAACCCAGTTCACTGATTATTCAGCCTCTGAGTTATACTCCAAGAATGCATGAATTGTGAATTCAGTTAATTTGAGATATTGGGCCCCTCACAAACCATTTAAAAAAAACATACTTTTTGACTGATTTCTTTTTCACAGGTTCATTGGTTTGGTCCTCGTCTTACACATCCGTCTACTCTGAATTACATTAAAACATTTAAAGATAACTTATCAATATTGAACAATAATCAAAATGAACATTGGATTATTGAATACCAAGCAACTAGCTTATTTTTATTATTATCTTCACAATGTTATCAGTTAATACCAAAATTAATTGAATTATTAACCCTAAATTATGGTTATAAATTAGTTGATTTAAAGTATTGGAATTCTGTTCAATGTTCCAATGATGTAAATTTACATGATTTAAAACAATTTTTCAATGAATTAATTATTAGTCAACAATTTCTGTGGATAAATCAGTCTAAATTAAATACTACTACCACTACTACTTCTACTGATAAAATTAGTAGTCAGTTAATTTGTAAAAATTATTATTTGATAATTATTAAACATGAAAATGCTCTACAACATTTGCAGTGTTTAAAAGAACAAGTGAAGGTATTTATTCATAGGCAAAATTCAATTATTCACAGTTTAAAGGGTAAGCTAACATAATTTTAAATTTTTATTGTTGATCGATTTTTTATGAGGTGAGGTAATCAGCCCAAACTAGCGAACAAGCAAGAGCCGATCGCTTAACAAATATGTAGGAGAAAATGGACATGGATGGGGAGGGCATACATTGAGGAGGCCATCGAATGACATCGTGCGTAATGTAGGCCATCTCTCGAGTGGAATCCCAAAGGGAAGCAACGAGTGAGTCATGGGTGCGAGGGTGACGTAGAGGAGATCGTGTGGAGAGGAGGAGATGAGAGATTGTGGGCAATTGGGGATCCAGCTGAAGAGGACAGAACCAAATAGAGCAAAGCGGAGATGTTCTACTCGGAACCTAAGGGAATAATAATAATCAGCCCTTTCCAACATGGCGACTCCGTAGTTCAGACTCTTTGAAGATGCCTTGAGATTGGTAGAAGATGGTGTTTAGCAGTAAAGTGTGTGATATGTGATTTATCCGTTTTTGGAGTCATCATTTAGATAGATGTATTATATTATTATTGTTGTTCCCTTGGGTTCCTAGTGGAACATAGGGCTTCAACTGCACGTCTCCACTTGCTTCTGTCTTCTGCTGTACTTTTCACTTGCATCCATGTTAGTCCGTACTGTTTTAACTCTTCCTCACACGATCTCCTCCATGTCACCCCTGGACATCCCACTCGCCGCTTCCCCTTCGGGTTCCACTAGAGCATTGGCCTGACGCGTGATGTCACCCAGCGGCCTCCTCAGCTCAGCGAGTGTCCAATCCATCTCCACTTACTCCTGCATATTTCTTGGGCGACTGGTTCCTGTTTTGTTTGTTCCCATAGCTTCCTGTTTGTGATTCTTTCCGGCCATCTAATCTTCAGTAGAGAACGAAGACACCTGTTGATAAAGGTTTGCAACAGGCTGTTGGAAATATTCTTTGTGACCCGCCAAGTTTCTGATCCATACGTATAAAACAACTGACTGACTTGACGTTTGTATTGAAAATCCGAATTTTGTTGTTTATGCAGGCTGAGTGACGAAGATTTCCAGATTGGTTTCCCGATTCTCGATTTGACATCCTCGTCCGCTCCTCCTGTAGTTGACACAATGCTTCCTAGATAAGTGAATGAAGTAACCTCTTTCAAATCCCTCCTGTTGATGGTGGTTGGCGCTGGATGTTGCTGTTGTTGTTGGTTGGTTGGTTATTTTCATAACCTCCGTCTCGTCTATGTTCACCTGGAGTCCTGTGTTTGCTGCTTCTTCGACCAGTTTGTCGGTTGGATAGATGTACTTGCATCCTAATGAGACATTAGGTAATAGGTTCATTTCTCGGTAGGAACACCATCTATCAATGAGATGAAGGTATATTCATTTGAGGAGTTCTAAACAGAAAACGAATGCGTATCTTGGATTCAGCTGTTAGTCATGAACAACCAAATAACACTGACACCGGCTTTACTTGTAATCCAAGACTTACTCCTACTATTTGATCACGGACTGATATCACTTAAAGAATCATTGGAAACAAGGAAATACTGATTTTGACCTAGTTGAGAACTCTTCAGCAGTACCCACTCAGGACCTCACAAAGGATCCAACCAAGGAAATTCAGGTGACAAGGCAAGCCACTGAGACGGAATCCACTGGCCTATCAATTTTGATTTACTTGTGTTCTTTTGGTTGGTCGTAGATTTAACTGCGAAGCTTTCGTTGTCCACCTTCTAGACAACTTCTTCAGTGCAAGTTTCAGTATGAAATGAAGTTATTTAGATTCTCCTTGAATGATATATATGACTGTATCTCCTGAAAACCTTTGTTGTCATGATTACCTGTTAATTTACATCTCTATTGATCATTTTTATTCACTTGGAATTTAAAATTTCTTATCATATGAACTGTAGTCAAGATTTTACCGAATAGTTCCAGAATAACTGGGCGCCAAGTGAGAAGCAGATATATGTAAAAATTATATTTGTGAAATCTCAGATAAAATGAAATAAGTAATTCCGATGTTTCGTTTGTCAAACTGGTAAATTTGGTCTGTAGTAACATGTTTGTTAAATAGCCTTCTAGAAATTACCTGGCACAGTACACCAGGCCCTCTGGTAGAATCCCAGTTGGAAGCGACAAGTGGGTCTTCGGTGTGCGGATGACATGGAGGAGATCGTGTGGTGAGGAGGAGATGAGAAATTATGGGCAATCGCAGACCCAGCTGGAGATAACGGCGGAAAATACAACATAATAGAGATGTGTTGTTGAAGTCGTATGTTCCTCTCGGAACCCAAGGGAATATTAATAATTTTCGGTGTTTCCTCTATTTAAAATTTTTATATTATCCCAATCAAATTCGTGCAGGAGTTGTCTACACATGAGTCGATATGAAGAAATACGTATCGTATCTTTTCATAGCTAACTTATATTATTGGAGTCAGACCCGAAGTGGACGCCCACTCTGATCGATGTAGTGTTTGTCAGAGTTTATGCAGTTTATTTTGTAAGTGTTATTGAATTTATCTTCTTTCACTGTTGGATATTTCGGTCTATACAATATCGAATGAAGCGACTGTGTCAACTTGTACGTTATATCTATTTCAAACGGTCTTGATATTAGAGCCATTAGTTGTTTCAGAGATATTCTTTATGTATAGTAGAGTGAACTTTCTTGTAGTCTTTGATGATGGCTTTTTGTTGGTGTTCCGACTCGAGTTTAAACACTTTTTGATGGAAGTGTGTGTTCATTCTTTTTGAAGATAGTCAGTGGGTATTTCTCTTCCTATCAGTTCTAGTCTCTTCTAATTCGCAATATATGTAGCGTAACCTCCAGCTATTGTCATAGGCGAGTGTTTCTCCTGACGCCGGAACTACCCGGAGTCCGCTGATCACAGATTCCCACTGATAATTCATCAGTGCTGTGTGAATCATTGTCATAGATTGATCTGCTTAAATTTAATATTCTAGAATACATCTTAACTAATTTCAATGAGATTTGTTAAGAAAGCACAAATACAGAAAATTTGAATGAAAAATTTAAAAAATTAAAGACAGTTCAGCAAAGAAAATTTTCTTTCAAGTATAGAGATTTTAGGGATTTGATTGGTTGGTTGCAGGATTTCACCATGAGCTGATATCACTTAGAGAACCATTGGAAAACCAACTAGGAGTACTGAACAACTGTTTCGTCCTTGTTTGGGACTCTTCACAGTCCGCACCCACCTTGTAACCAGAAGGTCCTTGGTTCGAACTCCGGTGGGTACGTACTGATGAAGAGTCCTAAACTAGGATGAAACAGCTGTCAGTTGCTCCCAGCTGGTTTTCCAATGGTTCTCTAACTAATGTCAGCTCATAATGAAATCCTGTTATTGTTATTATTATTTCCTTTAGTTCCTGGAGGAACATAGGGCTTCAGCCATGCGTCTCTATTGCGTTCGGTTCTCTGCTTGAGTCTTCACCTGGCTCCAAGTCTGCCCATATGCTTTCATCTCCTCTTCACATGACCTCCTCCAAGTCACCTTTGGATGACCAACTCTCCGCTCCCCTTTCGGGTTCCACTTGAGGGCTTGTCTAGTGGTGTCACTTGATGGTTTCCTCAGAGTATGGTCAATCCACCTTCATTTCTTCCTGCCTATTTGTTTCACAATCGGTTCCTGGTTGGTTCGTTCCCAGACATCCCTCACTATTGCTTATCTTTTCTGGCCATCTGATCTTGAGTATTGAGCGAAGACAACTATCTGTTAATGAAGTTCTGTAGTTTGTTTGAGATACTCTTTATGACGCGCTAGCCAAGTCTCTGATCCGTATAGTGAGTAGTACTGACTTCACATTGGAGTTGAAAATCCGGATCTTATTTTTGACGCTGAATGCTGTTGACCTCCACACATACTTGAGAGTAGTGAAAGCTTGTCTTGCTTTCCCGATCCTCGTGCTTTGATATCCTCATCAGTTCCGTCTGCCAGTATTTGAAACGGTGCTTCGAGGAAATCATCTTCACAGGCTGTACAATCGTAATGATACTTACTAAAAATGTACATTAGTCTACTATTGAGTAATAGGTAGGGGGTTACATAACTGATGTATAATAACTCAGAAGTGGCCTCAAAATTAGAGTCAGAATTAATCAAAAACATTACGTAATATTCAACGACACAAAGGAAGAAAAGGTTGGAAATTTGATAAGGTTAAATTGTCACTGAGTGCGAAGAAACGCAGTTCAGTATCCATCCATTTAACATGTATGAAGAGAGAGAGAGTGAGAAAATTTACAAAAGGAACATGTGAGAGTGGTAATAGTGAATTATGCTTCACTTTGTAAAGTGCTTTGAAAGAGGCATTTGCTGAGATGGAATGACCGTTGTCGATCGACAAGGTTTTCGATTATCGAACTCCTTATAGAGCCACACTACTGTCTTTCTTTAACCATACGCGTCGAACGACCAACTTACCTACCTGGCTCCACAGGAACAGGTGAGTCACTGTATGCACATAGAACTGGTCAAATGAGAGATCTTGTGCTTGGGGTTTCTACAGAACAATGGACGACTGGAGAATACTATTCTTAGCGTTGCTGCGAAGAACGTACTTCTCAAAGATGACGAATTTCTTCTCTTAAGCATGCTGCAGATTAAGTGTCGCTTTGAAATCGTCTATTTCTTTATAACTCTTCGTAGTTCCATATTTTTACTTCGTTTTTAAATGCATGCTGATTACAACTCACTCAATTAAATTATTCATCTTATCCTGTAAATCTAATATACTCATTCAAATCCTTTTATGCACTGACTAATATTATCAACTATGGTTGTGGCAATTCATCAGGTTTATCTCTACCCTCTTTCATGAAAAGGAGGTTGTATACAAATGTGATTGTACAGCTAAAGAGGAGAGAATCAATTCTCTGAAAACACCCTCTTCACTGAACTACTATTTCACATCATTTCCATATGGAGCGACAGAAGACAAGGGCCAGAAAACAGATCGTTCATTGAGAAAATCAACAGATATTTATAGGTATTCATGCAACGTCTTCTGATTGGTTGTTTCCCTGCTGAAGGTTATTCTGTGCTGCCTGTGACCGCTTTTCAGAAAGTCAAGCCATATATCTGCGAATTTTATTTGCACACGTTAAGTCTGCTGTGATTGGTTGTTGAGTTCCTTAAGGTTAAGTTTTGTTATTGTTTTCTCTCATGACCGCGATTCGAGATGTAAACGTTGACGTAAATTATTGTTTACACTTTTGGCTTTCAGACAGCTCTCACCACACATATAAGGAAGTTAAAACAATTAGTCCCTTTGATAAATTTGAATAAGGCATTTAGAAGACAAATTTCGCGAGATGATATCGTCATCTCGTAGTTTCTTTACAACCGCTTTACAACTAACATGGTTAAAAATGATAAAATAAAGATCATGACAATTATTCAGTTAAATAAAAACAAAAGTACATACTAATGACAAATCATATTTAGATAGGTCAAGTAGTCCAGGGTAGGCGAAGATTGAAGTCCATTGTTGTTTTTTGTACACACAGTTTAGGCTGTTTGTGATTCCATCACCTTCAATAACCTTGAATTAGAGTTATGTGAAATAATTGTAAAACAGTCATTAATATTGATTTTGTGACCTGACATTAATAAGTGTTTTGCAATGGATGACGCTGGATTTCTATTCAGATTACTCGCATTGTGATTTTCGATATGATTTAGTAGCCATTTTGGAACATGTTCTTTTCGACGACATTGGAACATTCTATTGGTTCTACCTATTATAGGTGTCACCGCAGCTGCAGGTGAACTTGTAGATACAGTTTGAATTAGAGTCCATAGAATTTCGTCCTTTAATCGTAGGTACAGGGATCGAAAATGTTCGGCAAGTGAGAAAAAGAGATGCGGCGGCGTAGAATGTGCGTTTGATGGCTGACCGAAGTCTTTGAGCTGTCAACTGTATAATCTGGTCACCCTTAAATGGTAGGTTAATAAAGATAGCTTTCTTTGGTACAGAAGCTGTCTTTTCGAGATGTGGTCTTTCTTTACTATGAAAAGTCATGAAGTTCTCCGGATAACCATTAGCTAATAAAACTGAATGTATATTTCGAAACTCATCCATCACTGTGTCACTCGTGCATATATTTCGGGCCCTTGAGAACAGTATGCACTTTGTTTTTTTATTTAACTGAGTAATTGTCGTGAACTTTATTTTATTACTGTTGACCATGTTAGTAGTAAAGCGGTTGTAAAGAAACTACGAAATGATACAATCATCTCGCGAAATTTGTCATCTTAATGCCTTATTCAAATATAAGGGAGTACTAAATATCTTTGAAATATGCTTCATTCTCAGGCTAATCAAACATTTATGGTAATGTTTTATTCCTTTTCAGATAATCCTGAAACTGTCTTCATTCACCTTCAGCCTATTGATTCAAAAACTGCTAATATCTTTACGCTGAATAATTTGAATTATGTAAGTTGAACGGTGTTCAATCATTGTTGTTGTTGTTGTAATGTTCTTTTGTTTTTATTGTCTTAAAGTATTTCAAATTTTTGATTTTCAAAATCCATAAATTACTGATATAAGATGGTTGGAGGCAATCGGCTACAGGAAGCCTTGCTTGACTTAGCTTTCGTGCTTATTGGCACACGTCAGCAACTCAACTCATATTCCTTCTGAGAGAGAATCGAACCCGCGTCACTCAGTGCTGCAGTCAGTCAGAGACGTTACCATTGAGCTATTCAGGCTCGCGATTGACCTCCTGTAGGACTGTATTGGATACTTTGATTGGACACTAGTCAGTAACTAGTGTCATGTGTCTCGTCCTATCGTTAGTGCAGCCTGAATTAATATTCTTGTATAATTCTTATTTTTTTTAGCTACCTATAAGTAATACTGATGAGAATGCAACAAGTCAAGGTCAACTAGACTTATCAACCAATAAGAATCCAGCCTATCCAGATTGTGAATCCCTTAGTTTTATATTATGCATACCATGTTTAAACGTTGCGCCACAAAATGAAACTGGTCACCATAGTAATGAAATAAACAAATCATCACATCCTATTCTTCATTTCACTAATCGCCTTCAATATCTTATTGATTTCAATGAAACTAATCAATCTTCAATTAATATTATCTCAATGAAATGGATAAGCCTGCGCCACCTTACTGATATTCATCGAAAATTGATTAATGATTTGTTGTATTTGAATAATACGCATAAAAGTGTACAGCAATGTTTAAATTTATTCGATGCATTATCTTTAAATCAACATAATAACAGTAACGATCAATGTTCAGTTGGTTGTGTTTTAATTCACGGTGAAAATTTACTACACTGTTTAACTAAATGGTTTAATTCAAATCAAATTTATTTTACTTTGGATTTGTCAAGTGTTAAAAAGTAAGTTTTAATTAATATTATTAAATTGAGTGATTGAATATTATTGCAGTATTGAAGTTATTTATTCGAAGGCAAAAATTGTTGAGTTATTCATTGTCATAGTTTTACTAGATTGTCTTAAGTCTGGAAAAGAGAGAAGGTTGGGAGTGGAGTGGAAGTAGCAACCCCCAAGTTAGGAAACCAAATATCTTTAGAGATATGAAAACCTCGGGGAACAAAAGACTTGAAGTTATTTTCAAGCATTGGATTTTTGTAGGGATTTTGTTTGTTCGATTGGTTGGAGGATTTCATTGGGTCCCAGTAACCGGAAGGTCCTGGTTTCAAACCCGTTTTTGGTGGGTACGTTTTGATGAAGAGTCCCGAGCACTAAGATGAAGCAGTTGTCCAGCACTCTCACGTTTTCCTACGGTCTTCAAACCTATGTCGGCTCATGATGAAATCCTGTGACAGAGAGAAGATACATCAGTTAACTGATTGACTGACTTATTGAAGGTTTCCACCTCTAGCTCTCTGTGTCATTTCGCCTCTCCGATTCCACCACTGGAATTATTATTATTATTTCCTTTAATTCCTAGAGGAACATAGGGCTTCAGCCATGCGTCTCCATTGCGTTCGGTTCTCTGCTGTAGTTTTCACCTGGCTCCAAGTCTGCCCACACGCTTTCAATTCCTCTTCACATGATCTCCTCCAGGTCACCCTTGGACGACCAACTCGTCGCTTCCCTTTCGGGTTCCACTCGAGGGCTTGTCTAGTGATGTCACTTGCTGGTTTCCTCAGAGTGTGTCCAATCCATCTCCATTTCTTCCTGCCTATTTGTTTCACGATCGGTTCCTGGTTGGTTCGCTCCCAGAGATCTTTGTTTCTGATCCTCTCCGTCCATTTGATCTTGAGTATTGAGCGAAGGCATTTGTTAATGAAGGTCTGTAGCTTGTTTGAGGTGCTCTTTGTGACACGCCAAGTCTCTGATCCGTATAGTAGTACTGACTTCACATTGGAGTTGAAAATACGGATCTTATTTTTGACGCTGAATGCTGTTGACCTCCACATAGACTTGAGAGAAATGAAAACTTGTCTTGCTTTTCCGATTCTGGCTTTGATATCCTCGTCAGTTCCTCCTGTAGTTGAGACGATGCTTCCCAAGTAGGTGAAAGAAGTTGTTTCCTTCAGGTTCCTCCCATTTATGCTGATTGTTGTCGGTTGTTGCTGTTGATGTTGGCCAGGAATCTTCATTACCTCTGTTTTGTCTATGTTCACTTGAAGTCCTATCTTTGCTGCTACTTCTGCCAATTTGTTGCTTTTCACTTGCATATCTTCCAGTTTGTGGGAAATCAGACATATATCATCGGCGAAATCCAAATCCTCCAAGGCTTTTGTGTCGGTCCATTTTATGCCTGTTCCCTCGTTGGTTGCCGTTGTCTGCCGCATTATCTAATCAACTGCAATCAGGAAGATCATTGGTGACAGTAGACAGCCTTGTCTCACTCCCGTCCTCACTTCGAAGGATTCCGTGAGCCTCCCGTTGTGGATTACTTGGCATGCAGCGTTGTCATACAGCTGTTGGAATAAGTTTGGTTTTTATATCCTCGGTATTTTTAGTATTTCTATTGTTGAAGTTTCTGTAACAGTTTGATTGTTTTTTTGTGTAGGTTTGTTAGCTCCACGCTAAACCCTCCCTCTTTACCCGCTCTTGGGACCGGCTAGAAAACTAGCAAGCTAGTGAACCAGGCGAGATTATATATATATATATTCATAACTGCAATAAACAGCAGGGAGGAGTGAAAGTATACAAAGAAGCCGTGTGAACAAATTGATATGATTTTGAGCAAATGAGGCATAGAATTTGATCAAAATGTCATCAAGTTATTAATAATACATCTTTTTTATGAGTTGATCACGGACTGATATCAGTTAGAGAACCATTGAAAACCAGGGAGTACTGGGCAGTTGCTGTTTCATCCTAGTTCGGGAATTATCGGCAGTACGCACCCACTGGGGTTGCGCTAAATCACGAATTGGTAGAAGTTAGAATTCATGAGCCATTGAATCGGGTTCCAGTGGCTGAATGGTATGCGAGCTTGCCTCGTAACCGGAAGGTCCTGGGTTCGAATCCCAGTGGGTGCGTACTGTCAATGATTCCCAAACTAGGATAAAACAGCTATCCGGCAGTACTCCCTGGTTTTCAATGGTTCTCTAACTGATATCAATCCGTGATCAACTAGTAAAAACATAAGTAACCCTTACAAACCAAACTATAGAATATTAGTACGTCACTTTGCATTGTATCAAATCAACTCATATAATATGGAGTTTAGAAAAAACAACAGATTGAACGAAGAAATATATTCCTATTCAGCCAGTTCCTCATAATTGGTTCTACATTAATACATAGTTGTATTTTACCAGTCAATTGGTTATTTTAGTCAATCAGTTTTAGGAATAGGGTAAGTTAATCGTCGAATTTCTGAACACTTCCTCCCATCTAGGTTTGGTATAGATCCGAATAAAGCTACTATACACAGCTCAATACCGTCTCATCTCGTAGATGCTCGACATGAAGTTGTTTATAACAAAGATTTTAAACTTATTCAACTTATTTCATCTAACTTTTCATATGGTCTACTAGTATGACTTTTACACAGAGTAGAGGTACAATTGGAATATGCATTAAGTTTTTAAAAACTGACTTTTCCCCACCTTTTGTAACTATCTTTTGGCTTTATTTTTACAGTTCTAGCTAACTGTGTTAACTTGTTTGTTTCAAGATTTCCACAATGAACTGATACTGATTAGAAGACCATTGGGAAACCTGGGAGTACTGGACAACCACTTGTTTCGTCCTCCTAGTTTGGAACTCTTCATCAGTACATACTCACTGCCAGGGTTTGAACCCAAAACCTTCTGATTACAAAGCGAGGTCGTAGGCCATTAATCCACTGAGACCCAATCCAATGGCCAGTGCATCAATTTAGACTTCTGCAAATTTACGATATAGCGCGACTGGAGCTAGCCAATATTATCCGTGGAGAATATTTTTTCTCACACCGGACCTACTATTGCCCACTGATCACTAGCCACGACTTCCAAACGAAACAGGTGTCCATTACTTCAGGATTTCCAATGGTCATCTAACCCCTGTCAGTTCATGGAGAATCCCCGAAACCAATGAAATCCGTGCAAACCAACACTTGAATAACTTGTTTGTATTTTACGTAATTCTTCTTAATCATTAAAATTTTACAAATTTCTTGATTATGTAATAATTTGTTACTAACCCCTATGAATTAAATGGTGTTGAATTCCGTGATTAATTAATTTTTACCCCCCCTTTCAACACTAAGATATCTTGTTACTCACATCTATTAATTAATTGTTTTGATGACTTTTAACCTCTTAATTATACCCTCCCCTTGTACCTTAAACTGACGGACTAAAATAACCACATGATTGGTACGACTTTGGTGCAGCCAGCTGCTATATATTATTGTAGAGCTAATAGTGAGGAGCTAAGTGAAAAGGAAAGCATATTTCTTCGCTCAGTTTGTTGTTGTTTTTTTTTTAAATATGGAATTACTATTCTTTTTCTGAACTTTAAATTTACACAAATTTTCTTTTTTTTCAAGGTTATCTGAGATATTTTTCAGTTCAACTGAACTTTGTACATATTTTGATTATACCACAAGATGTCAAATAAACAATCAGCTTTCCACTTTATCTGATAAGGAGTAAGTTTAGCATTTTCCAATAAAAGAAGACAAGTTAGTGTAATAGATTTTGTTGTTAAAATTTTAATAGAGTGGAGAAGATTGTTCTCTCTTCGATAAATTCATGGTACAACATAGAATCATTAACAATAAGGTGAAGTGTGTGTGTGAATAAAAAAATAGATCCTATGGTTGATTACAGGAACATGTGGGAAGTTGTGACCAGTGGGATGCACAAGTTTGATTGTGAGTACAAATACTTGGCATGGATGACATTCGCTGGTGTATTATTATTATTGTTCCCTTGGGATCCAAGTGGAACATACAGCTTCAACAACATACCTCCACTTTTTTCCAGTTTCTGCCAAACTCTTCAGCTGGGTTCACAATTGACCATAATCTCTTATCTCCTCCAACTCACACGATCTCCTCCATGTCACTCGTGCAATGACGACGCACTCGTCAACTACTATTTGGATTCCACTCGAGGACCTGGCGCACCATATCATTCGACGCTTTGCTCAATGTATACCCGATTCATCTCCATTTTCTCCTACATATTTGTTGTGCGATCGGCTATTGGTTGGTTTGTTTCCAGCCAGAGTTTCTTGTTACTAATTCTTTCTGGCCATTTGATCCTCACTATGGAGTGAAGGCAGCTGTTGGTGAAATTGTGCAACGTGTTGGAAGTCCTTTTCGTGCCACTCAGTGCAACTTTCTGACCCGTACAGAAGAACTAACTGACTTAACATTTGTGCTGAAAATCCGAATCTTGTTCCTTTTGCCGGCTAAGTGCAGAAGATTTCCAAACTGGTTCCAGGTTGATGAAGGCGTGGTAGCGCAATATCATGAATTGGCAGATGCTGGAATTCATGGATTGGACCATTGGATTGGGTCCCAATGGTTGGATGGTCTATGAGCTCGGCTTGTGACCGGAAGGTCATGAGTTTGGACCTTAGCGGGTGCGTATTGCTGAAGAGTCTCAAGCATTAGAATGAAGCAGCTAGCTATTCAGTATTCCCAGGTCTTTTAACTGTTCTCTAAGCGATGTCAGTTCATGATGAAATCCTGAGACCAATCAAATCCCTGCGAACCAACACTTGAATATGCAGAGAAATTGACAGTCTTGAATGCTAGATTACATCAGTTCCTATGATGCAAGTGACCATTCCTACTGACCAATCACGTTCCAGTTTATTTTGATTGGAAGTAGGTAACGTGTGTAGTCCTTTCTTTGGTTTAGACAAAATTAATCTATCAGTCCAGTTTGCATTGTGGCCATCATGCCACAAGGTGGCTATCCATCCCAGTGTGCTGTGAACTGTCGGTATTAGATGGTTGGAGACAATCGGCAGAAAGCATTGGAACTAAGCTCCGGGTTAGCTCGCACTCACTAGTCAGTAAGGTGTACCTTCAACCTTGAAAGAAATCATGACACTTGTGGGATTCGAACCGGCGTCACTAATGCTGTATTCAGAGACGTTACCATCACTGAGCTATTCGAGCTCGTGATTATATTGTATACTTCGTTTCCAAAGTCAGAATTCAGTCTACCACACAAAGGAGTAAGACACACTACACTAGTTACTAACTAATGTCCAATCAGATATGATGGAGAAGATTTGTAGCTCAGATGGATGATTTTGATGCAGTTATGTTCTCTGAGCTAGATTGAAGTATGCGCTGGAGATGTCACCTAGTAGGGCAATGAAAGCTTCGCAGATAAATCATCCAGCTAAGAGAACGCACCTAATACAGTCCTACGGGAGGTCAGTCGCGAGCTCGATTAGTTCAGTGGTAACGTCTCTGACTGCAGCACTGGATGACGCGTGTTCAAACCTCTGAAGGAACATGAGTTCCTTCAAGATTGCAGATACACCTTGCTGACTGGTGGGTGCCAACAAGCACGAATTGAAGGATTCCTACTCATATCCTCGAACCATCTAATATCACGTTGTATTTTATTTAATAGTAATAATTTGCTGTATTCCCAAACCTTACTTTAGATACAATGTGGAATTCTCAGCATTTCGTAAAATATCGCATCTAATTTACCTGACAACAGCAAAAACAAGTGTGAAAAACAATATTACAGGATTGATATTGGCAGCCGTTTTGATATTCTCACTGACAATATAGTCAGAAATGTACAAAAGGTGTAGAATGATAATAAGAATGTTAATAGCTGAAATTATAAGATTATAGAAGAAGAAGAATCGTCCAATCAGGTGACTTCTAAATCTAATAAACCACACAATCCACAAATTTAATAAGTCTAAGTCTAAAGAACGATCAATCGTCATTGATAGCCTGTCAAAGGGGTGATAACTAAACAAGAATATTAGAACAATATTTAAAAGGTAGAGGCAATTACACCAAAAATTTATTAAGATCATAGCAGGTCATTACATAATGCCCATTTGGTATGCCAAAAAAATAATCTAGATTCATACGGCCAAGAACTGACGTTATCCAGAAACCAGGGAGCATACTGGATAGCTGTTTCGTCATGGTTTCGGACTCTTCATCAGTTAATATAATTGCTATTCCCTTGGGTTCCGAGTGGAACATAGGTCTTTAGCAACACACCTCCACTTTCTTCTAATATCTACTGTCCTTTTCAGCTAGGTCCATGAATGAGCATAATCTCTCATCTCCTCCAACTCACAAGATCTCCCTCATGTCAGCCTCGTATTGACGACCCACTCGTAGCTTCCATTCCGAACTCCAATAGAGTGATACCCTGCACTGTCCGCAATATTATTTGACGGCCTCCTCAGCGTGTGCCCGATCCATCTTCATTTTCTCCTACATATTTGGTGAGCAACAGGCTCTTGGTTGTTTTGCTTCCAGTCAGAGTTTCTTGTTGTTAATTCTTTTTGGACAGTCGGCCATTTGTTCTTCAGCATGGAGCCAGCGAAGGCAGCTGTTGATAAAAGTCTGTAGCTTTTTAGAAATCCTTTTTGTAACACGTAGTGTAGTTTTCTGACTCCTATATAAAAACTGACTGACTGACTTCACATTTGTATTTCAATTCCAAATCTTGTTGTTTTTTCTGGCTTACTGGAGAAGATTTCCAAACTGGTTTCAGGTTGATGAAGATAGTTCTTGCCTGTTCATCAGTATACATCCACAAACCTTCAAGGGATCGGAACTTGGACTTTCAGGTTAAGAAACCAAGCTTGTTGGCCATTTAGCCATTCAGTAGTGTGCACCATATTACGATCAAGACATAAATACTAATCGAAGGCGCTATATCATGAATCGACAAAGTTGAAATTCACGGGTCACTGGATCCCTGTCGTAGTAGCTGAATAATCAACGAACTTGGACTCATAAACCAAAGGTCCTGTGTTCGGCAGCTCGTAGTGTTGAGGGTGTAAGCTGATGATAACTACCAACCTAATAGGACGAAACAGTCACTCAATGCTCCCCAGATTTCAATAATATCTGTAACTGGTATTGGTCTTCGAAAAAATCTGCTTCGAAGTTAACGCAAATCCCTATGAAATATCCCGTAATCTACAGAATATAGTAAATTAAAAAAGATACTAATAACGATTACAAAATAAAACCTTAGGGTCGATTAGTCAGATAACGAAGATAGTTAGTGATGATAGTACTGTTGAACGACTGCTTTGATCTACTTTGTGATTCTTAGGAGGAGTTTATATCAACTTCCACAGTAGGGATTTGCTCCCAAGGCCTTGAAATTGCGAAAACATTACGTTGGAATTAAATTATCTGTTTCATTAGATTGGAGGATGTTACCATGTTTCATACATTTATTCCCCTCGATGAATTTTAATAAAGCAGGAACGACAGTGGTTTTTACAGAATAAAATGGTGCCATCATTGTTCATTTCGTTGGCTTCTCATCAGCTCGGCTGCTTACAGGGTAAAGACATTATTAAGTATAGCTACAGAAACAATTTTAACATACTTGCATGGAGTTCAGTTTTAAACAAAAATCAACCAATATATGCATACAGTAATAATATATATATATATATATAATATTAAACACTATTTCGAACAATACTGATCATACACAATGAAAACTTTCGATATTACATAATTAGATGACAGAGAGGAGGAAATATCCAGTTACAAGGGCAAAGAAAGACTGATATTTGCTTCTTTCTGAACGCATAGCTCCTGTTTCAGGCTCTTGATGGAGAGTGCCTCGGCAAACTTGAGAAGAATTGAACTCGTTCATCTGATTACGTAATGTCGAAAGCTTCCATTCTGTATGATCTGTATTGTTTGGAATAAAGTGTTTATTATTATATATATTATTGTTGTGTGCATATATTGATTGATTTTTGTTTAAAAATGAAGTCTGTACTAGTATGTTAAAATTGTTTCTTTAGGTATACTTAATAATGAGCTGAACTGATGAGAAGCCAACGAAATAAACAATGATAGTACCATTTTATTCTGCACAAATCATTGTTTGTTCTTGCTTTATTCGATTTCATCATGAGCTGACATCGGTTAGCGAACCATTGGAAAACCCGGTGCGTGCGTACTGATGAAGAATTCTAAACTAAGACGAGACAGCTGGCCAGTACTCCCAGGTCTTCCAATGTTTCTCTGACTGATGTGAGCTCATGATGAAATACTCCAATCAAATCTATGAATTTATATAAGCAACCAAACGTCATAGATGAATACATTTATTAATAATAGTAATCATAAATTTTAGCTCGCTTTTTAACTTGCGCACCTAATTTCGTTTTAAAAACATGGTGTTATTGTTTTTTTTTTACTGAAAACAGACAATTTAAGCATGTTTGGAATGAAATAATCAATACTTTAGTGAATCATAAATGGTGTATAAAAGAATGCTGTCTTCAAATAAACTATCATCTATCATTCTGAGAAGTTTATATCCCCATCGAACTGGTTGAAAAATTTATGTCAAATATTAAAAATTTTGTTGAGTGAAGGTGAGATTTTTACTGGATTTATGTGCTTTTGCTTTCGAAGTAAATATTTTTGGTTAAATATTTCAATTTCTAT